TCTCTCTCTCTCTCTCTCGCTCTCGCTCTCTCTCTCGCTCTCTCTCTCTCTCCCCCTCTCTCTCACACTATCTCTCCCACTTTCTCTCTTTCTGTCTTCATTTTCTTTCTCTCACTCTCACTCTTTCCTTTTCTCCCTTTCTAATTCTCATATTTCTTTCTACTGGCACTTTTCTACTTAAAATCTACGGCAAACCTTATATCCTCTTCTTCGCTCTTCATACCTTTGCGCTTCGTCGCGATCAAGCGGCGATCACGGGGCACCGCTAGCTCTCTCGCGATTCTTCGATCCTTGTATCGTCGTTATCATTCCCCTTCTCGAAGCGCTGCTACAAGCCTCGATTGGTGTTCTGTTGATGCTGCGTGGCGTTGTTACCAGCATGCTGTTGCTGCTGCTGTGGCTGTTGCTGTTGCTGTTGCTGCTGCTGTTGCATCTCCTCGTCGCGTAAACACGCTGACTCGAGATGCTTGTTCAGATAGGACTTGAGGGCAAAGGTCTTGTGGCACCTCGAGCACTCGTAGTTCTTATCAGCCGAATGTGTCTGCATATGCGCCCGGAGATTTGAGCGATCAGCGAATGCCTTGCCGCAGTGGGCACATCCGTACGGCTTCTCGCCGGTGTGGCTACGCAGATGACCCTGCAGCAGCCAGGGTCGCGAAAACATTTTGCCGCAGACACCGCAACTGTGAGCCAACTTGTGCGTTAGCACGTGCATCGCCAGGGCGGGCATGCTCACGTATGCCTTACCGCAGTGAATACACTTTTTAGCGGACTGTGAGTCGAGACTGCGGTGCGTCTGCTTGTGCCGCGACAAATTTGACGACGTGGCATACTGCTTACCGCATTCGGTGCATGTAAACTTGGGCCTGTCCGGTTGAGTCGCCTCCTTGTCAGGCACAGCGGCACCGTTGTTGCCGTTACCGCGTCGCTTCGATCGACCATCAGACACAAAGAAGGCCTCGTAGGTGTAGGCGACAGTTTTGCCGCTGTTGCTGGTGCTGTCGGGAGTCGAACAGAAAAGTTATACCGATTTCCTCGGAAAATAAGTTTCGGGAATTAGGAATGGATTACGGCTTGCGGTATCTAACCTGTTTCTCAAGTAAGCTTCGATCCATCTTTCTGAACTGTACTAGATCTTCGAGTTTTACATTAGACACGATATCTAAGATAGACATTAGACACGATATCTAAGATAGAATAGATTTTCACGTTTACAACTTTCAGTATATCAGAAGGGTACAATCAAAAAGTCCCGGAGTTTCACAGATTACCATTGTTTCACCTACACTCGAGACTATTCGAACTACTCGATGAAGAAAAGAGGGAGGAGATAGAATCATCGAAATGTAAGACTCACCTGTCCCTGCCGTTGCAATTTCCGCCGTTAGTCTCCGCGGTTGCTGGCGATTGCGGCTGCGGTGGTGTCTGCTCCTGCTGGCGTAGCTGATTGGTCTGTGAGCTAGGTACGGGCACAAGTACGGACACCGGAATAGGCTGCGTTGCCGCTGACACCGATTGTAAAAGCTGTTGCTGTTGCTCTTGCTGTTCCTGGTGTTGCTGCTGTTGCTGCTGCTGTTGCTGCTGCTGTTGCTGCTGCTGTTGCTGCTGCTGTTGCTGCTGCTGTTGCTGCTGCGTCACGGGTACGTTCGGTACCGCGGCAGCGGGTGGTGGAGGAGGCGGTGGCGGCGGTGGCGGCGGCGGCGACAGGGTGTGAATAAAAACAGAGTGCGTTGGCGCAGCCGGTGACGCACTGAGGTCGAGAATGGCCTGCGCGGCCGACAGGTCCTCTTCAGCGGACGTGCGGATTTCCGAGATCGTCTGCAGGCTATAAGGACGGTAGATGTCCTTCTTCTTCGGCGGTAAGGACAACGCCGTGCCTGTGCTGGTGAAACACATCGACAAGCTCTTGCGCGGCGGTAGGTTCACGGACGTAGATGGCGTCGACGAAGACGGGCTCGTGGCAGCCTGTTGCGGCGCCTGATGAAGCCCCGTGCCGGTTAGTACCGGAAGCGTCAACTCCTGCTGCGCGATTGGAGGTGGCGGCGGTGGTGGCGGTGGTGGCGGCGATGGCGCTACCGGACGCGCTAACTCTGCCGCGGAGCGCAGCGTCGCATATTTGGGCGGCTCGTCGTGGTTGATCCATGCCTCGTGCGTGTAGCCTAGAAGAGGGAAAACGGACTTGAGATAATAGATGGATTGACCTGAGATCAATCACGGACGAGCGCGGCATGTGTGTATGTGTGTGTATCACGTCATATATATGTATATATATATATATATATATATATATATATATATAAAAGATGTAATATGCACACACACACACACGCGCGCGCGCGCGCGCGCGCGCGCGCGCGCGCGCGCGCGCGCGCGCGCGCGCGCGCGCGCGCGCGCGCGCGCGCGCGCGCGCGCGCGCGCGCGCGCGCGCGCGCGCGCGCGCGCGCGCGCGCGCGCGCGCGCGCGCGCGCGCGCGCGCGCGCGCGCGCGCGCGCGCGCGCGCGCGTGTGTGTGTGTGTGCATATTACATCTTTTATATATATATATATATATATATATATATATATATAAAAGATGTAATATGCACACACACACACACACACGCGCGCGCGCGCGCGCGTGTGTGTGTGTGTGTGTGTCTGTCGTCGCACTGTGTATTGTGCAATATTGCACAACCGCTATTCAATTATTCTAGAGTGATCTCTAAAAGAAATTTTTTTTCTTGAGCGCGAATTGCCGATACTACAACATCGAGAAGATAGTGAGGGTACGCAAAGTACGCGCATACGTAACATCTCTTGTTTGTTCTCGTCTGCATGAATATTTGAGTTCGTGATTCACTCGCGAGTTGGGTGGCGTTTCATTTCCTGTGCGCCAGCTGTTTCCATCATATATACGGTCATTAACGGATACAAAGGGGAGAAAGGTAAATGGCAAAAAAAAGGAAAGAGAGTTGGGTGCAAGAGAAGGTGCATCGCCAGTGGTAGCGCAGCACGTGTACGGGGATGTATAATAACGTGGTGTGTATCTGTTGCACACCTTCCTTGCACAGGGTGGTTCAGGCTGAAGAGTGAGTTCGCGCTGCTCTCCGCCAGACCAGAAAATACCGAGAAAAATCCAGTCAGAATACAGAACAACATCTCGTCTAACGTGTTCTTTTGAACACGCTCTCATTTCCGAGGTACTTGTGCGAAAACACGTATTATAATTAAGCTATCTCTATCCTCTCTCTCTCTTTTTCCCTCCCCCTCTCTCTCTTTTCCTCTCGTCTTTCCCTCCCTCCCTTCCGCTTTTGATTAAATACTATTATTAACATTTTATTAAATATAAACACAATAACAAACAGAAATTTTGCTTCTTGCATTGCTTAAAGTGTTTATACGAGAAAAACATACCCATTTAAATTACGTTAAAATATGGGAAAAGAAAAAGTAACAATCTCTTCAGTGTTTTTTATTTTAGATAATAAAGAATTATCCTACATTTTAATCGCACGAGTTGTTTCCAAACGCTCTCGACTTTTGTTGCATCTGTCACATCACTCAGACCGCTGCAATTCGCAATTTGTCCGAATGTTGTCTCGTTATTAGTTATCGATGTCGTTTAAATTCTGCTCGTATTTCTTTTATTACTCCTGACAATGCAGTGGAGCACGCAACGTACGACTTTCGACGTTTTGCGCCGTGAAATCGATACGCGTGCCGTCCAGCGAGTTACGTAACGCGAAAGTCCGTGCTGTAAGCAGCAGGCACACTACTATACGTAGAAAGCAATTAATGAGTTCTCATATCTCTCTGATTTGAACGTTTACCAAGTGTTGGGCACATGCAATCTCAATTAAACTGATCATCGCAAAAAAGATACGAGTAGGTCCTCTTGCACAAAAAATTTCATAAAATTTTTCTTTTTTTTTCTCATAAAAAATTCGACAACAATTTTACACAAAAGGCATGATATATATTAACAATATAGTATTATTATAAATATTAACTACAAATGTGTAACAAAAAATATTTTATCCGTAAGATACAAATCGTCGTAATGCACTTTTTTTAAGTCGCAATCTTGATTCGAGAATTATATTCGTTTCAATATTTTTTAACGAGATATTTGTTCCCGAAGAGAAGTATCGTCACTTGCGTCAAACGCATCTTTTATCAAATAGGTTTCTGCCGTAGGCTATTTTTCTCCGACACATCGCTCGCGAGAGACAGTCCTAAGGGAAAGCGGAACCGCGATAAATCAGAAAAGTGTGCTACGCTCGCGATCGATCAGCTGGCGCGCATCTATTATTGGCTGAAATAAAGGGAAGTCAACACACAGAGTAGCCGTGTCTGCAAGTGCATTTCATCAACGGCAGAAGGAGCGCAGTTGTACGGCTGGCCGAGGAAAAGAGGTGAAGAGGGTACAGAAGGGTCGTATAGGGACGGAGGGGGGAATCAATAACGGCGAATGAACGCTCCGCACGCGCTCCCACGAGTCCGTTGATTCTAGACCCTTTCAAAGGCCGATAAAAATCTTCATTGCGATTAACGTTTTAACATCGAGTTTTTCGTCTCTTCTCAGTCTATCTTTTCCTTTGCCACGAAGATTGGAAAATGGTGTAAACGTGGCGAAATGCGCATAATAGCTAAAATAAAACGAAATTAATAGATTTATGTCGTTATCTATTGATTAATGGACATCTGCTTGCTCATAGCTTTCTTTTAAATTGATTATATATTTTACGGAGAAAATATTGTAATCTATAAAAGCAGAGACTCGCTATTTTTGTTAGTATTGACGTTATTAGTAATATATGAGAGTTTAGAAGGAGATGAAAAAACTTTGTTCTTATTATAATGAAAATGTTATCTTATCCAAAATACTCAAGCAAATCGAATATATATTGACTGACAGTGTAAATTCTGCTGTAATCTAATTTGTTGACTTACAATTAAAAGATAATAAACATATTATATAGAACGGTGTAAAGTGACATGAATTTCTATGACTTCTAGGTGGATTCTATATCTACGTTATCTAAATTACAGATCACAGATATAGTCCATATAGCATATTTATATACCTTGAATGAACATTCCGCACATTCCTGTAGGTTTATCGCCTCTGATCTTTATCGACCCTGTGAGCGCAAAAGAAACAGCAGGTATAAATAATTATACTTGGTCTATTGAGCCATCCAATAAAAAAAATCTTTTATGGCTAACTTATTTATATTTTTTGTTGTATATAAGAATATATATTATTAACCACTCTTTCTCTCTCCTTCTCATATAGATGATAAAAAATAGGGAGATAATGTATAACATTATCGAGCGAATAAAAGCCAATCGCGCGCTTTATTCATGAAAGCACGAAAGTCAAGGACAAAGAAACCTGTTAATTGACATGTGTCCTTACAGGTTTTTCTTCTCGCGTGACGACAATTTATTACTTCGTTGAAATTTAATCTTCGTTATGACGGATAAACTTTTGTATACACACGAATTTAACAAATGACTTGCTTTCCTTATAATTTTTCTCTTCTCACATCTACAAGCTTATATGTGACGGATAAAATCTTTCAAGCATTAAGAGTCGCAATGTAGAATATTGCGTGCAAAACTCTTTGCTGCGCAATTTTATATAGCTTCGGAATGAAAAAAAATATCTATACAAATACATACTTGCATTTGTATAATAAACAATTAAAACTAATGTAATAACCAAATAATGTAAGGACAGTAATTGAAAAGGGCAAGTTGCTTGGCAGTTTTATAATATCTCTCAAGGATTGCGTCGTGAAAGTAAATCGGAAAAAATTCAATCGTTATTGCACCACGGCATACATTGTGATGATGAGTAGAACACTTGTTACATAACCATTTGCGCCATTTGTGCCATTGTACGTACTCGTGTGCACTCCACTGCCTATAAGCAGTATAAATGAGATAAAAAGAGGTTGTTACTCCGCAGTCCTAGCTTTCAAGAATATCTATAGACGATCAAAGCATTAACAATTGATTCGTGCACGTGGATATTCTAGAATATGTGTACACAATTTTTATAAAATATATTCACACATGAGCATCGCACTTGCCTTAGCAATAAACTAGTGGTATGTATATTTTATTCTTCAAATAAAAAATTAATTCATCAAGTATAAATATGTATTCCTTTCCATCTTAAAGGCTTTCTTAAAGAAAAAATGTTCCAAATATTGAGAACGATTTAAATTTGATAACAAAAATAAGACGACGATTAAAAATTACCCTCTATTTGTCCCATTGTCGAGAAAAGCAACATAAAATTGCTTCTACAAGAGGTAAATTTCTACAATTAAGAATTAAAGTTTTTCTTTAAAAAAATGCCCCAATTATTGAAAACAATTTAAATTTTATAATAAAAATGAGACGACGATTAAAAATTGCTTTCTATTTGTTTCATTGTCGTGGAAAGCATCATAAAATTGCTGCCACAAAAAAAAGTAGATTTCTACAATTAGAAGTCGCTTAATACGATTACGTAACGCGTGCAAAATCTACAAGTTACTACGTAAAGGCAAGTTAAATTCAAAAACACATTGCACGCGCGTGTGCACGTGCGAGCGATCGACAATTAACCCACTTGACATAATTCGTCAAGTCCTAGGCGTATTCATCAGCATCTACGTCACTAAACCAATTCGACCGTTCTGTATAACGGTCGTTATACAACAAGTCGCCGTCTCAACGTTGCTAATTTTCTTCCTTCCTGAGTAAAAGAAGTCGATAAATGCCACCGTCAGCAGAGACAGCTCTCGTTAGCCGAGGTTTTTCAAAGACATCAGAATCATAACTTAAAGCCGAAGATGTCACCGAATGATCGTCGATGTACTCGACGGTCTACGAACGGGTGTGTCGCCTATATACGTACATATGCGACACATGGCCGACTTCGTGGGCGGTTTCCCACAGGTCGTAGAAATGCTGCCATAATCGTGCGCGGTGCTGCGGCCTTTAGTAAACCAGTTTTCCGCACTCCCAACAGTCGGACGATCCTGCTGTAATCATGGCGCGTTTAAGCGGCTATACTGCAATATGTCTATAGCGCACGCGGCTGTCTAATAGGCGGATGTGTCACCCTGTATGCTGAACGCATAACCAGATTCTGTCATGTCACCTCGAAGGCTGCACCTTCGTGAGAAAGAAAATGAAAGCTAGCAGTGATCGTCCACAGCTCAGTCTCGCTGATGCTCGCGTATACTCCCGAAGAGAAAAGCCTGTAGGTTTTTGGGCGTGGCGCGTCTAACCTAGCTGCTACGCTCGGGAGCGGTAAAGTACGCAAAACGGACGACTCGTAGGAGCGCGCGATGCTGCCGCATGAAAGCGAGTATTTCCTGAGAGTCAATCCACTCACCATGATAGTAAAGGGCGCCGGAAGCGTTGAGGGGCGGCGGACTGGGGGCCGTAGCTCCCGCCGTGGGACTGTGCGGCCCCCAACAAGTCTGCTGATGGTCGACTTGACGATTATCGACGTCCCCGACCACGTCGATCTCCTCGTCCTCGGGCTCATGTCTGTGCTGCCGTTTCTCCATGGCGTCCGCAGTTTGATGTATCGCATGCGGTACTTGCTCCTGCAGAAGAGCTCCGATCGTCGCCTCCTCCTGCTGCTCCTGCTGATCGTCCACGCGATCCGGCCACGGATAGGCCTTCCATTTTTTCGCCATAAGACACCGCGGCATGGTGGAGATGTGGTTCCTCCGTTGTCTCGCAGCCGGCACCAACAAATGATGACGATGATGGTCGTCGTCCGATCAACAAGGACGACGACTCGGACAACTTCGGGGCGAGACACCCACGCGACACACCAACACCGACACGCTCACCAACAACTGCAGCACCAACCGCACCACCAACGTCGTCACGATCGACGACCGCGACTACGACGCGCCCGTCACCGTTGTTGGTTACTGTGCCACGGACGTTGCCGTCGTCGTCGTCACCACGACGTCGACGTCTACGTCGCGCCCGTCCGTCGCCCGGCCCGGCCGTCTGTGACTGCGGCCTGTTGGACCGATGGTTGATGAGACCGTCTCGGCTGGATGGCTCGTTGGTCGACTTCGTCTTCGTCCTACGTGGTACGCGCTGGTGGTGTGGTATCTGCAGCCTCGTCATCGGCACGGCGAGGGCGGCTCCTTAAACGGATGCACCACCGCCACCATGCCAGCCAGCGGCTTGCGGCCTCTACGATCTTCGCGGCGATCTTCTTCGTTCGCTCGAGAGAATGCACGTTGAGAAACTCCTACCGCACAGGCCGTTCTTTTCATAGATTATATATTCGTATGTATATGTATATATATACAAATATATATACACATATATATATATATATATATATATATATATGCGTGTACGTACTCCCGCGCGCGCGCACGCGTGTTTATCTATGTATGCGTACTTGTACGAGACTGTATGTCCGGGGTGGCTCTTCTCTCTTTCTGCACTTCGCGAGTTTTGCCGAGTGGACCGACCGAGTGACTGACTGACTGACTGACTGAAGACCGACCGTCCGCCTGTCCGCCTGTCCGACCGTTACTCTTTTGGTCGCTCCCTGTCGCGGCTCTCGCCAGTGACAAGGGGTGGCCTCAAATACGACGGCGACGACGGGGTGCGACTGTTTAGTCGGTGGCGCTGCCGTTCCGCGTTACCGTCCCTTTAGCCCCTTACCCCTTCGCCTCACCGACAACTATCACTGTCGCGCTCACAGGGTTGTCTTCGTCGTTCGCAACGGGCTCGGCTAGTCAGCAACACCCCCGGCGTCCCTCCGTTGCGGCTCCCCCACGGGTGAAATCGAGGGATGGCGCTGCTGCTGCCGTCGCCGCCGCCGTTGCTGCTGGTGCTGCTGCTGCTGTTGCTGATGGTGATGGTCTGTGCGAGGGGTTGCATAGCTACCCCTCGAGAGTGCTGATGTCGGTTCTCGATTCCTGCAAGTCGCTCGTTGTGGTTGTGCGTACGTGACGCGAGCGCGTGACACAGCGAACGAGCGTGTATTGCCGATGTCAGTGGCGTAGGACCGCGAATTGTTTGCACCAGCCCCATTAATTCGCACATCCTTGCGAGAGACTGCCGGAGCTTGAAAAAAAGTCAAATTTGAGTAAAACGTTTCTTACATATATCAAATAACTAATACAATCGGAAACGAATATTCCTTTATTAATTTATGGCTGATACCGTATGAACTGACACAAATTTTTACTTCAGGATTGTGCGAAATATTCACTCAGTTAACACAACGTATTATTTCTACCAAATCGCGCGTTCGTATTTTGCGAACTATTGATTGATCCATTTTTGCGGCTTTAAATAAAATTCGCGCAGTTCTTGAGAACGATGCTTACTAAAGATGTGTCATGCACTCAGCGACCGTATGACACATTAAAGGAACATGTGGTCGACTCTTGAATATTTCATTAAATTTGAATAATTGTGATTTGTATCGCATCGCTTCTAATTACACGCTATTTTATCGTCTATGAACACGATATTCTATAAATCGTGAAGTAACTCGACAAATATAGTTAAGTTATCCCGGATGAAAGTCTCATTATTGATAAACTAAAAGATTAAAACTGCGAATTTCTTACTCTTTCCTTACTAATTTCCTTATAATACGAGAAGGACGATACTCGCAATACGCAATAGTGACATTATATATTATAGCTGCGAGAGAGATATTCCGCTTTCCTGATATAAACGGCGATTTCGTATTCTCAGTACGTGTACACACGCGCGGCACCATACTTTGCGTAAAGTTGAATTTATGTTACGCCGCATATTTGGAGCTCGCTACGAAGACTGGGTCGACTCTAGGCTGATTTAAAAAAGAGATTGGAAAATGTAAAATAGGAAGTTGCAGTTACAATACGTTGTACTCTCTATGCTTACATTTATTCGTCCAAATAATGGAGATTTCTGCGTAACTGCTTTTACGATTTTTTACGTTATGAGGGGAGGAGTTTAGAAAATTAACTGTACTAATATTAAAATCATACACTTCTTTTACTTTTCTCAGAAATGATCAAATGTAAATTAATTTTTAGCTTTACTAAATTGACAAATGTTATCATTGAGAAAAATTATTTTCAGAACATCAAGAAAACATTATTCACATAATTCTCTCTTTCTCTCTCTTTCTCTCTCTCTCTCTCTCTCTCTCCCTCCCTCCCTCCCTCCCTCTCTCTCTCTCCCTCTCTCTCTTTCTCCCCTTTCCTCTAAATCTTTATCGTACGATTGACTCAACGACCACGATTTATTATCCTTTACAATAATAAAAAACGATATAAATATACAAATAAAGTGCGTCTACGCTATCGCAATGTGAATAAATACGCCAAACTTTTTCGATGGAGGGAGGTTTACTTTTAACAAAGTCCCATCGACCACCAAAGATTCTCGATCGTTGACCTCTTGCGCTACGCAACGGGCGCATAAGCGCTATCTGTAAATCTCTTCCTTACAAACTCCACCACTATTTATCGCATCGCGCCACTTCCGGCGTAACACACACACGCGCACGCATACTGACAAACGCGAGCGCACCCCAGCTCCCGCAAAAATCGAAGGGGGAACAGCTGGTCAGGTTCCCGAACGACGTTCCCGACAACGTTCCCGAGCCTCGTTTCTGACGTTACTATGAGCGTGTAAACTCTCTCCTTCTTTCTTTTTATCAGTCAAGAACGAGAAAGATGAAGTGAGAGAAGAGAGTGTAGAGGGCCGACGGTAATTTCTACGGAAGATTGGTTGCATAGTGGCGATGCCACGGCGATATACGTCGTCTACTTGTTGTCGTCGACGTGCTGTGTCGTGATAGTAGTAGTAGTGGTGATGGTGGTGGTAGTAGTAGGTGATCGTAGCGGTAGTAGTGCAAGGGTGGCGCACATTGGGGTGATACCACGCAGGAGTGTATCTCCCTCGTGCAAAAACGAAGAGGAGCGAGAAGGACAACGCGTACGCGTATACGTGCAGGCAAGAGGGCGACAAGACAAGCGAGTAGAGGTTGTGAAGGGCAGAAGAAGCGAGAAGATGAGAGAGAGAGAAAGGGAACAGGCACGGTCGCACATGCGCCAGCGCTCGGCATCGACCCGATGTCTAGGCAACACCTGGCAGCACCCCACGTGCCGCGTTAGGGTGGCACCAGCGCCACCCCGCGCTGCACGTCGCGCGTGCGATCCATCCCGGTATCGAATATCCCACTGGCCTCCCCCCGACTGTGTTCCGTCTACTGACCCACGCCAACGGAGAGAGGTACGTCTTTCGTTCCTCGCTTTCTGAATTCTCTTGCGCCTGATACACGCGCCACGAATGCCCGGCGCCGCGACGACGGAATTCCTTTTTCGGGACGGAGGTAGCTCGGGGTGGTGCGCGCGGTTGGAATTTCGATACGTGCGCGCGAAGTGGGCCCGTCGCGGCGCGGACGATTCAGGAAGGCTCCGCGGTATGCCGATGTGCAATGCCAATATTACATGCATCGTGTGACACAATCCTGTTGAGCGCGCTCGATCGACGAATTTCCCCTGCGTCGTGACCAATTCTGCTGCGGGACACTCTGTGGAGGAAGCATCGAGAATCGCTCGCCCTCACGTCAACGTGCACGGTAAACTCGTTCTATGATGAGCGTAATATCGGACTTATTGCTATGTAATATATGCATCGTGGCGTAGTTGGGTCGCGAATGGCTCGTCTGTTTGTACGATCAAAACCACGATTCGACAGCGGACGCAGATGTTTTATTTTCGGTCGACGGTCTCACTGAGCGTCGCAGGAAAAATACGAATATTTCAACATTCCATTATTTACAACTCGATTTCACGTGCCTCTCATGAAAATAGAGCGAATGATAATTATCAAAAAATGTTTAATTCGCCGTTCAAGTGGATTTTTATATTATACTAGGTAATCGCGTATATAATATAATCTTGCGTATGATTATGGAGGTAACGAGGTCGAATAAAAACGCGATCTTCGTATTAAGTCTCGTACTTTCAACTTGTCGCACGCTCGCCGTTCCCGATCTTGCGACGTACAACCGCGTGGTGCAGAGGGTGTTTTCCGTTCACGCTGACGATTTCCGTACGAATACGCAGAGATTCATACGGCGCCACGCGGATTGCGGGTGGAAGCTAGTTTAACTGCAGAAGCAAACGGGAGAAGTGTAGAGAGGGAGGGTAAACGAGCCGAGGAATGCGACGCGTTCTTATTTCCCGGAGAATGAAAGCGGAGTGCTGGCTGTCGCCGTTTCGTACTACGGTCTACACCCCCATCCTGCGCCCCGTGGAATTTAGTCACCCCTTGTCTCTCCCGCCCGCTAGACGCTGCTCCGTCGACACGGTTGGACGGGAAGGAACCTGGATATTTGCACTTGATAGAGAGAATTGGAAATTTCTGCCGCGAATAATATTTGCTAATTGGAATGTCCTCGTGGAGAGAAATAGAAAGATATTATACAGGGTGACCTAAAACTTTTACGTAGATACGTAGACAAGTAAAGTAACGGTGCCAATTATGGGTCGAATCACAATTTCGGGTCAAACTTGGTTTACTAAATATTGATACTAGCGCTATTTTTTAGTTATCGTTTAAAATAACTAAAAAAATAATTTTACAATAATATTAGTGAAATGAAATTCTTGAATCTCATAATATGCAAGCGCGGTTTTATTTTTAAAAGTTATCTAATATTTAAAAAATGATAAAATAAAGACCGGAAGACATTCATTTGACGTTAATACCAACCGATAAAAATAGAAATATGAAATATACTTGTTATTTTATTTGATAAATGATCAGTCTCATTTAAACTAAATTGCAAATAGATATGCGTTATGTTAAAATAAATAATAAATATAGTAGTAAATGTATATGTTATGAGGTTATTTTAAAATCTGATGCTATATAATGTATCATGTATGTGATGTTGCTATATTCCTCTTCCCTCCGTCCCTCTCCCCCTCATTCACATATATTGTCGATTTCACGAATATTCTCATCGGAAAATCTAAAATTTTTCTCAATCCGATGATATGTATTTATGTGATATTTTATTAAAATATATATTTAAATGTCCATTTTATTATTACGATAATTTTTTAAACTTTTGTCTTATATGTCAAATTAGAAAAAGTTTGTTGTACGATAAAGCTTACACGATTACTTGTACGATTCTGCTTACACAATACAAATTTACAATAAAATATATTGGAAACGATACAGTAAAAGTTATTAAAATTTCTGCGTGTTATTAGTTCGATTATTTTAGTATCAAGTATATAGGTTTACTTTTTAGTATAGGTAATAGGTGTGTATATATATATAGTAAAGGGTTATATATATTATTTACTTTGTCAAACGAATTAGAACTTAATGTATACAAAAAAAAAAATATATATATATATATTATAATACAAACACGGAAAATGTTTTTTAATATTCTTTAGTATTTTTACGAATATATACTAAAATTATATATTCACAAATATTGTTAATACGAAAAAAATAAGAATATTTTCTTAATATTATAATATTTAAGGAAAAAGAATATTTCAGAATATCATTTTCAGTAAACACGATGACCTTAAATGACACATTCATCACTAGTAAAGAAAAAAATATTACTTTTTTTTTATGTAGATACAACTATATTTTATTATTCTATGTTTTATGTAAATACAACTATAATTGTACAGTACATCTGTAAGTACATCTGTATCATGTTGTTTTTATGTATTTTAACATATATATGTTTTGCGTTAAGAACGAAAAAATAATTGAAATTCTATAAACACTGAAGAGAAACAAAGACATTCCATTTAATATATTACCAATCAGATTTTTTACATAAAATTTTAATTTAGATTAACCGATTCATATAGTAATTAATTTGAAGAATTATTATACGAACCAATACTATAATAAAAATTCATGAATGTGTCATTTAAGGTCATCATGTTTACTGAAAATGATATTCTGAAATATTTTTTTTCCTTAAATATTATAATATTAAGAAAATATTCTTATTTTTTATATATTTCAATTATCTCAACTTACTACTGTAATTTATCTAGATTGATAAGTTATTTATCTAAATAAATAAATAAATTAGAAAATAAATTTATATTTTTTTTAACACAAGTATAGATAAAAAAGAGATTTTTATTCACCTAAAAATTTTTTTATTTTAGATAAACCATAAGTTTTAAATAGGTTAAAGTAGATTTACATTATTTCTCTATAGAACAAATTGTTTTATTTTTTAATTTATTTAATTTTTACGTATGTACGTATTTTTACGTAATAAGGAAAAGACATTATACTTAAGCCATTTTGACACATAAGGAAGTTATACAAAGATATAGTTTTATAATATATAGCAATCATACTATATTCATATTTTTTTCTTTTTCTCTAACGTATTTTTTTATTGATAACAAATATTAAAACTGTATTCTTGAGGAAATAAAGGTAATTGAAAAATCTACATTCTCCCTATATAAAATTTTAAGCAATTGAATTGATATTTTGTCCGAATATTAACAATAGATAATTTTGGCTCAATTTAATTAATATTTATATATTTGCATATTCATAATTTTTATTATAATATTGGTTCGTATAATAATTCTTCAAATTAATTACTATATAAATCGGTTAATCTAAATTAAAATTTTGTGTAGAAAATCTGATTTGTAATATATTAAATGGAATATCTTTGTTTCTCTTCAGTATTTAGAGAATTTCAATTATTTTTTCGTTCTTAGCACAAAACATATATATGTTAAAATACCTAAAAACAACATGATTCCCGAATTGTCGTGCAAAATATATTGGTATAGTTTGTTAAGTACAAAATAAAAATGGATTATTTATGTTTAAACAAATTCATGTTTGATCGCAAATGTTTAGAACTTTCAATATATGACACTATCAGACATGCATGACATTGTCTATACTACATATTTTACATATTTGTAATTCTTCACTTAATAGTTATCTTATTAGATAATAGATATGGAATTTTAGATATAGATATGGATATCAAATAAACGGTCGATTATTTTTTTTATTAAATATTAAATGAATTATGCTACTATGTATCATTCAGATGTAAGTATCAGATAATATATTTTATATTTAGAGCACTAACGTTTTCATAATTTTTTTTAATTTAAAATCAGTTAATTTAAGGTCGAATAACTTTATTTTAAAACAATGTTGTTTATATTAATATTAACAGTTCCTTTTAATATTCGATCAAAAAATGTATGTAAACAAATGAAAGTTATCCTAAACGTAAATTATAATTAGAGGAATTTTACTTTACTTGGAATAATTTCGATTTATAGCTCTTATTTCGAATTCGTGAAGACTATATAACTAAATTAATCGAAACTTTTCTTAGTCGTTGTACATACGTTGTACATCTAATGCTATTTATTACCTGAAATAATGTGATCTTCTTGACAATGTAACGTCAGGTACAGATTTGACATAATTCGAACTTAACTCTTTGGGAAGCCGCGTTTATCTCGAGTGCACAGCGATACAAAATTAGCATCGCAATGCGAACTCCTCTATTAAACTGAAGAATGGATTTCCTTCGTTGAATTATTTTATAATCTCTTTATCTTGCACGTAATCCCGCGCGACAGCCTTCTCGTTATCGCGATATTATTATTTTGCTAAAATCTTGCTGCGGGATGGGCTTCAAACGAAAAGCCATCAACGATAATCTATTACCAAACGGCGCACCCACAAAGAGCAGATAAGCCTTTATCATTTATATAGTTACTCGCCTCACTCGCCTCACTCGCCTCGCGACACCGGTTACACGAAATCGTTATTAATTATTCCAGCTTATCGTAAAGTATCGGGGTCACACCGAGGCACCTGAATTATTTCTACCGACGTAAGCTCGCTCGGTCACGTAGAAAGGATATTTACCCTAAATCTTCATAGCACAATGGAGCGTGTTAACGGCAATCGCCCGCGTTTCTCCCGTGTCGTTCGATGATACAACGCTTTCGTGTGAAACTATCATAGTTATATAACTACAAATTCTTGAAGACACTGTGACTATATATAGCATCTTGCTAGACTCTCGGATCTAATAGGGTATTTTTTGAATACTTAAAATACTAGTATTTTAGGAGTTGATTTTTAAAAATATTATGGAGAAAAGTTTGTATGAAGTATGATTATGAAAAAAGTTTGTATGAACATATGGTCTCTCAGAGACGCCTCGCCACGTC